ATACACTTTACGTGAATTAATATGTGATGTTTCAGATTGGTCGAGCGCAGCCCATTAGTTAGCGCTGCAGACTGTGGATCTGAAGTTCCTTGATTCGCGCCCCTTTACCACCAAAAAAATAAAATAAATAAAAAATTGCACTCCACTCTTTGGAACCATGAATGAGTTATGAGAGTGACGTTCAAATCCTAAAGGTACCTCAAGTGTCGGCAGTAGGTGGATTTGACTTGCTTTAATCTACAACTTCAAAATTAGGGACGGCGAACGCAGCGCAGCCCTCGAGAACCAGCTTTGCGCGAAAATCAACAAACAGACAATGTATTCGGATACCAAATACATCTGGTGTCTTATGGTTAACAAGTACAAATCAGTGGCATATAAATCAAGAGATTTTAAGTTATCATTGATGAGTCAGCAACGTGGATCTAATTTTGTACCCATTTCTGTTGTCTCAACGCGAGTTATGGAATGCTTAATTAAATTTCGTCATTTCAAAGAGTTTTTAATAATATTCTAGAAGACAGGAGCAATGAATGACTTAGACAATATACTGATTTTTCGCATTAGATATATATATATATAGTTTTGTTTCTAAATGCAATTACGCAATTTATGTTTCTAAATGCTGTAATTTATTTCGTGTTATTGCCTTAGTCTGTTTGTTTGTTTGTAGTTAAGCACAAAACTACACAATGGGTTATCTGTACTGTGCCCACAACGTGTATCAAAACCCAGATTCTAGCGTTATAAATCTGCAGACTTACCGCTGTACCACTAGACGAGGGGGGTGGGGGTGGCTTGCCTTAGACAATAGTATTTTAAAAAGCTTAGATCCTGCAAGTATAAGAGTTTCATAACATAACCGCGAAGGGCAGGTGTATCGAAACTCACCCCCACTGTTGCCAGAAATACAAGTATATAAGTTATATGTTTTCAAGGGAGGTCAAGTAAAGCACCATACACTTAATTTCAAAATCATATTTCAAGTAAAGAAAAAATGTCTCAGTCTGTATCTATGTCTGAAGAAGGACGATAACGCGAAATGTTACCTATCAATAAAGTATACAAACCTTTAACGTTTTTTATGACTTTTGAAGCGGCCATTTTTTACTTATTTTATAATTTGAACTGTAAGTTTATTTATTTTGCACAACTATCGTAGTATAAGTCTGTTAAGCTGGTGATAAATCATACACCATCCCGTTGGTATAAATCATACACCATCCCGTTCCAACGGGATGGTGTATGATTTATACCCTCGATTCTAGTTATGATAGATTTTTATTCCGACCTATTGAAATGTATTCCGACATTGATTAGCTATTTACTGTGTTACAAAAAGGTAACTTAAACGTTAATGTAAGATTTAGAAATGAATGAGTTTATAACATTTTAACAATAAAATTAGTTTCATATTTTCATTACAATTTAGTCTAGCCTTTCTTCTGAATATTAAGTACTTTGATTAATTTAAACAATGTAACGTAACGTGTATTTCTCGTAATATGGCTACAGTATTGTAGTCGTTGATAAAACGCGTTGCAAAGATAAGGTCAATGTCCAACTAAATAATGGGTTATAAAACTTTCCCACGTACAGAAGGTATGATATTTATGTTTTATTTATTATATATATTATCAAAATACTTAATCAAAAGAACACAGATGAGAAAATGTTAAAAAACGTATATATATTTATATTATAAATTATTTCTAGTTACAATAAAACAACAAATTATAGTACTGATGACATTTTGTATAGAAATGACTAAATAAAAACTAATAAAAGAAACTGATTAATAAAGATATTTAAAGTTTAATACAGTAACTAATATTAATTTTAAAATCATAAATGTGTCACTGCAATATATGCTGTAAGCTCTGAGTTATTTCTACCATTAAAAAACGCGTTAAAGATGACCTTATTCTGACTACTAGTCAAAACTTTTATCACCACCCTCTATCAGGATAACATTCCTCACAGACCTATTATACCCATCCTAGGCTCATTGGCATAAAATGTTGCTAAGATCTTAGTTAAGAAATTAAACTCTTTGCTCAAGAATATCTCCTTTTCTCTCAAAGAAAGAGAAACGCTCTAGACTTTGTAGACAGAATTAAAAACTTTGAATCAGATCAAGAATAAACTTTTGTTTCTGTTGACGTAAGATCTGTCTTTACTTGAATACTTGTCGAATAGGCTTTACTCCGATTTAAGAACTAAGCTAGATTGTTTGGTTGTTTTAGAATAAAGCCACATTGGACTGTCTGCTGTGGCCAGTGCGTGGAATCGAGCCCCAAATTTTAGCGTTGTAAATCCGTAAACTTAACGCTGTCTCACCAGGAGACGAACTAAATAAAAACAAGACAATTTATATTCTAATAATATAGACCAACTAATCAGCCTGACAGAATACTCTGTGAAAAAAATATGTATTTTTACCTACCATGGTCATGTCTATGGGATCTCCCCTTTCCTCTCTACTTAGCCAACTTTTTTCATATAAAACAACCTGAAATCAGGCAAAGATAGTTTTGTAAAGATGACATGTGAAGGATGGTGTGCTTACGTTTACTGTGTTCTTAAATCATGTTTTTAATACTTTTTCAGAGCTATAGCATTCTATAGGTTAAAATGTGTACCCCTTTGTAACGTCACCTGGAAGGCGCTGAGCATTATTTTACGTATTTATTCATTTATTGTCGATTTGCTTCTTGGGATGCAAAAGGCGATTTATGCGCACAATGAGAATGTTAGTAAGATCATACCTACTCTTTTAGGTGAGATGTTCATGAAACTTTTATTAAAATTTTATCTAATGATGCTAAGAGCTACATCATATTGTAACATTATTATACATAAATGTGACGTACATTTTAAATTAAAGTTTTTGGTTCTGAAACTCTCTGATGTTTACATGTAAAAATGTAATTACACACAATTCAATTTCCAACTGCATATTGAACGTTT